TCATGCACAATGCATACATGTACATGTGTGTGTAGGAAGGGATACTGGATACTGAACACAGTGTAATGCAATTGACTCCTTTCTTTTTTGGTCTCTGAATTCAGGGATCATAACTATCCTGGTCCAGATTATACTTGGATATGGATAAGGGGGGGTAAACCAATGACAAACTAAATTATAAATTAAAGTGGTGTTCTTTAACTGCAATTTGAACCATAGTACTTGTTGGGACGATATGCTAAACTCAACCACAGTACATCTCCTTATTTAAGGAATGACATTTGCCTTCAGGTGTAACATCCTTCTACATATAAGGGCTCCAGCTGCAACTATTAAATACGGTGTCTGCCTGTAATAAAACCTTTCTAATGCATGATTTAATTATGCATGAGAAGACAGACCTGGCTTGTATTACTGAAACTTGGGTGGGGAAGATAAATGGGAGTTCCTCTTTTGGAAACCTGCCTGTGTGGGTTTGAGGTTTGGCATTAGCCAAAAGGTTAGGATTAGGTTAGTCAAAGCAGAGAGCGGCTTGCTGTTGGCATCCATAATATTCTTCTGGCATCAAGAGGCGCTGGTCTGCTGATAAATAGATATGAGTCTTTGTGCATCTGGACAAGAGGGGCCATTTGACTTGGTGGCTCTTATAGTGCTATTCCTATTTGCACAGCAGCATCCATGCTAATCAAACTGAGTTTTCCCAACTGGTAGATGTTTCCCAACTGGCACAATGTGCTTTCTCTTTGTAAAGGGACTAGAGCAGTCCAAGACGGATCTCAGGATAATTATAGACCTGATCCAACATATTGAGCAGTTAATGTATGTGAAAGTAGATGTGACATAATTTGAAAATGGAAGGCACGGATCTTTGCTTCATATCGTGGCCCACTCATTCTGTTTCCTGTAAAGTTCAAAGATCTATTCCAGTTAATTGGTTTACTGAAGAGCTCAGAAAGATAAAGAAGTAGAAGAAACATCTAGAACATCACTGGTTCTAGAGCATCAAGTCAGACCAGACAATTGTATGAGCTCATGTTTGAGCCCAAACAGTAGCACTGGTCAAAACTGTCCAGTGATTTTTTAGTCTCATTCCATTTTAGGAAAAATATGTGCCAAGACCACCTGAAAGACTATTGTGAAGAATTCTCATAGCATTTGACAGATAAAACTGTCCATATTCTAGAGAAGCTGGACTCTCCCTTGATAACACCAATGGACTGGGACCACATTTGTAAAATGATCTGAGATTATTTTGAGTCTGTAAGTCCCAAGGAAGTAGAAATAGGAAGGAAATAGGTTTTTTTGCAGTTTTAGCTCGGCTGCTTCTTAGTTGGATTAGGGATTTCCACAAAGACACCTAATTTGCTTTATTGGATGTAGAAAGTTAGCACCTATCTCTCTCCTAGGATAATGAAATATTTTTGGGAATATTAAAAAAGGAGGAATATTATATTTCCCTAAATGAGAAATGGCAAAACATGTTTTTTAAGACAGAAAACAGACTGTCTTTCTTAATACATAACCCATACATAATCCCTATATGGCCCCATGGGAGTCTAACAACAGCCAATAGAATACACGTTCTTGCACAGGAACAGGAAGCTCAAGTGCAACGCCCAAGAGAAGGTATAAAAACTCCATACTCTCAACTGCATATGGTCAACTGCTCAGAGCCCCATGTGGTTCTGCTTCATCATTAAACCTTCTTTCTAATCAATCTCCATGTTTTTGGTGTCTTTCTCCCAGCTTGGAACTGAACCAGATAAATATTTCTTCCCACATGAGTATACTGAGGTTTTGTGCTGCCCAGACCACAAAAAAGTGAAAGAACTAGTTCTACATTTAATAAAGATTCATAACAACCAGTTCTATAGAGTCGGTCCAAACTGGTAGAATCCCACCCCTTACTTAAGAAGAGCCTTACTCAAGCACACATAATCCCAGTAAAATGAGGTCCACTGGATCACAAAAGAAGTCAGAAGTGATTGCAAATTACTTATGCAAGATTTTGCTGACTGTTCCAACATCTATAATCAAAGTGTAGAACGTTAACATCCACCCTTCTAGAAGAATGAAATATTTTGAGAAATATTTAAAAAGGCAGGATAAAAAATTTTCCCTAAAAGAGAAATAAAAATCTCAGGGGAGACAGAAACTCAAGAGCCCCACCTTCCTGCCCCCAAGCAGTTAATATGCTGAGGCCAGCTTTCAGAAATGCAGATTTGATAAACCATTACTCCCTGCAGCAAGGTCTGAACAAAGGTAGGGTTAGCCCACAGTCACAATAGGAATTGCCCAACAAGCCTCTTCATTGCATCAGGCCAAACTTCAACCAAACTTAGCTCAGACAAACTCCTAGGATTTGGAACTGAACCAGATGGATATTTCTCCCAATAAAAGTAAACTCTTTAGTGCACATACAGACTACAGGCCACTAAATAAGAACTATCAACTACAGGTATTCTCATTTAGCAACACAATTGAGACAAGGAACTTCAGGCTATTCTGTGGTTATTTCAGATAGCCACTTCTGTTTGTAATTTCACAGTGGAAGAAAAAAAGGCAGTAATTGAGAGTGACCTCCAGGTTTTCTGCACTTTTAATAACCCAATGTCTCCATAATTCAACAAACGTATGTTGGCCAGCCAAACAACCTAGACATATTTGATTATATGCTGCACGCAAAGGTGAATTAAACTAGAGAAAGAGGTCACTCAACTGAGTATGTTGTGTATAATGTATCTTGTAAAGGCTGGAGAAAGCTGTTATGTAAACTTATCTGAGGAACCTACCAAGGATCCATTAATTGGAAATAGTGGGAAGGAGGAATCTTAAAGTTTTCTAACTCTGGAATCTGTTTTCCCCAATTTCTATTCTATTCTACAGTCTTGAGATTTCCTAGTAGCCTATCAGGCATATTACAAAAGATGTGAGAACCCAATTTTACAAAAACTATTATTACAAAGTCATGCCTCATTTTTGTAAGTTTTATTTTAGCATGCTAACAAAGACATAGCTAGAGAGAAAACATTAAATTACTTATCTCTCAATTTCCTGGTGAAATCAATTATTCAGAGAAGAGATGGGTTTTTACCTGCATGTAATAGGTTTGGGCATTTTTAATTTTAATGAGTACTTAACCCCTGACAAGGGTTTTTGTTTTAAAAACACTTACAGCTCTTTACATTTCAAGGTTTAACAATATAAAAGTATAAATAAATGGAATACCCCAAGGATTCGTCACACAGTTATCTTTCATTAATAAGACTTAGCATTAATGGCATCTTCTTCTAATAATGTGGATATAGTCAAATATATAAATTTGTAGTATTTACAAAAGAGTACATTTAACTCTGAAGAGAGTACTTGTGTTTGGTATGGTGGCAGCAGTGCCTCAGATAGAAGGTCCATACAGAGAGTGGTATGGACAGACGAGATTATAGGAACCTCACTTCCCATTATTCAGGATGCTGCTTATAAGCACTATGTACTTAGAGCTCAAAGCATTGTTAGACACCCCACACACGCACTTCATGGTCTGTTTCTGTTCCTCCCCTCTGGGAGATTTCAAAATATTTCCAGCAGGACTTCCAGATTCTGTAACAGCTTTGCTCTCAATGCCATCCATCTGGTAAACTTGCAAGATTTGTTTCTCTCCCCATATGCATGTATACATCCAAGCTAGACTGTGTTGTTTCTCCGTGCCATAAAATATATGTGGGTACATGATTTATTTATTTAGTCATGTTTATATTTATATTAGAGGAGACCCTTTGAGAGCTATATGCAATGTAATTTCATTTTAATGTATGCCAATTAGTGTACATTCAAAGTGACAATAAAATTATTCTAAGTCTAAATCTAAGACTGGTCCTCACACAACCATCACAGCATTCCAACAGTCATGTAATCAGAATTTTGATGCTTGGCAACCAGAATGTATTTACACTGGCTGCAGTATTCTAGGGTCACATGAGCACCCTTTACAATTTTTCCAGCCATCTTCCAACAAGCAATGAAAGAAGCCAGTTTTGCTTAATAGCTGCCTTATTCTCTCAATAACTGAAGTGATTCACTTAAGCCATGACAAAAAAAAGGTCATAAAATGGGTGTGACTCATTTAACCACTTTCCTTAGTAACAGAAATTCTGGTCCCAATTCTGGTAAGTCAAAAACTATTTGTATTGGAAATAAAGCCCAGAGAAACAAGTATTCTATCAATATTACAGTCCAGGGTGTATTTTTCATCCAGAATTGGATGGATATACTTTAGTTTAGACAAGAGGGGGGGAAATCTGCATATTGCATAATGTTTTTGTTGTACCACAAAGGTTTTAGTCTTGAGCTGATAATGTTAAAGCCTCAGCTATATTGTAAGTTTTTTTTAAAATTGTTAATCAAAAACTAGATAAGCAAAGCAAATCTTGAAAATAAAAGACTACTGGGGTTCTAATTTCTCCCTTTTTATACAACTGCCAATTTGCAACGTAAACGTCAAGAAACTTTTCAGATGCGTGGACTTCAATTCTCAGCTCCTCATCTGGCTGGGGAATTCTTGGAGTTGGAAGTCCACAGATCCTAAAAAAGGCTGAAATTGAAAAACATCGTTTAGGCTCCCTTAGAATCCAGGCTGTAAGCCACCATATTAAGCCCGTTGCGTAATCTAAGGTTTGCCACACTCCTGTCAACTCAACGTCACATTCTCCGTCCCAGAGACGAAGTTGGACTTCCACGCATGCCCAACTACGTTTCCTAAGCAACCGCGTCTTTGAACTTATTCAAGCCTTCAGGGATCAAAAGAGCAGATGCACTAGTTCCGGTTTTCCCCTCGGCCACTCCGCTCCGCGCAGCCTACGGAAGCCGTTTGGCAGCCGGGCAACGAAGTTTTGACTCATGCGTACTTGCCTAGCCTCACCTAGGGGGTGTGGGTGGAAAAAAAAAAGCGAATGGAGAACGGAAGCGGAAGCGGTGTGTGGCGAGACCAAGTGGTTTAATTACACCCGCCCCTCTACCCTTTTTTTTTTTTTTCATGTTAGTCGCGTTTCCCTTTTTCCGGCCTCCTCGCGCCCAGAGTGCCTGTTATTGGAGGCGTAACCGTCGCCCTCGCGCCCCTCCTCCCACGAGAGACAGCGGCCTAACCGTCGATTCCTCCGCCGCCGTCCTTTTCCTCTACAGCCCCGCCCCGCCCCTTCGCCCGTGCGGTACTGTGGCCTTTGGCGCCGAGTCCCGGTCAGGGCGGCCGCCGCTATGTCCGACAAGGAGTTCATGTGGGCCCTCAAAAACGGCGACCTGGACGAGGTGAAAGACTACGTGGCCAAGGTAAGTGGAAGAAGCCGGGCTGGGAAGTCCCGTGACTGGAGATAGTTTGCCCCTTTTGAGGCGGCCGCTGTGGGGAGGAAGAGGGTCTCTCTCTCTCTCACACACACACACGTACACAACCATTCCGGGCGGCGTTTTCCCTTCTTAGAAGGCCCAGGTGGGACTCGGGCCTGCCTGGAGGCGCCCTCTGCACGGGCGAGTGGGTGGGCGAGGCCTCCTTAGTGGCCCACCGCTTCTCTCGTGAGGATCTTTCGTCCCTTGGGGGGCTATTGAATCTTGACAGTAATTTCACTCGGAGGGGCCTCATCCAGAATAAGCTCCCCGAGAGGAGGCGGCTTTGAAAGATGATCATGCGGCTCCAAGGAAAACGGCCGGTCCACACCCACCTTCCTTCCTTCCTTCTTTCCTTCGGCTCCGTTGAGGTGTGTTGGCTGTCATTCACACGCTATTAACCGGGGTCTTCAAAGGCTGGTTCTGTTGGTTGGTCTCATAGTGCCTTGAGCAGGACTATTAGCGCATCCCTACTCTCTCTCTTTTTTTTAATTGGGACTGCGAAGAGCCACACCCTTGTTCTAAATTATAATTCATTTACACGCATGCCTGTCTCCTGATTTGTATTTGAATCGTGTACTAGGCACCGAAACCCCCCCAAAACAAAAAATAACAAAGATGAAAAGGACAGGCTCCGAGGTGCAACTTCCTGTTAAACTTGTTGCTTTAATAAATTGAAGGTGGTGATGTAGAAATGGGAGAAGAGAAGGGATTAAAATAACTTCAGTTCGTTTAGATGGGTAGTTAAAGTGTGCTAAGGGTTAAATTAATCCCCTTTAACAAGAGTTGGTAATGCATTTGCTATGTGATAGAAAAAGGTTTTTATTTTCTGTTTCAATCTCCATTGAACCCAAAATCTCTATGATTGGTGGAGGAAAAGGAGCAGAATGGAATGTACTGTTCACTAGAAAGTCAGAAGACAACATATTAGAAGGATTCTACTACTGTGTTGCTTTTCTGCTTATGGCGACAAAACCAATCTGCACAGATTTCAATTTGTGTCATGCAGTACTGAGAATAATGTAGCTGAGTCAGAAAACAGTTTTCTAATTGGAAAAAGATAGTTGAAAGAGTTGCTGATTTTCCACCTGTGGCTTCAAAACTTTGAGTAGCAGTGGATTATTTCCCAACTCCCAAGTGTTTATCAGTGAAATTGCATTGTTAAGTCCTTCTAGCTATTAACTCATGAGAGAAACTAGTTTTTTAAAGTACTTTGAACTTCAGAATTGCAGTTTATTGAAAGATTACCAACCTGTAGGACAATTGAGGCTGGAGAAGGCAAGGCTTCGTGTTTTGAAATGGATGGGAGACAGTAATGTTTCATAAAATTTAGGATCAAACATTCTCTATACAAATTATCCCGATTTTGTAGAAGGGAATAGAGAAGGACTTATCTTGCTTGGATAGAAAAAAATAGAATGGGAAATCCTTGCCTTTCCTAGGCATAATTTCTCCAATTTAAGATTATTTTTCATATTGAAAATTTAAGAATTACTTGAGAGCAAAAATAGCATACAAAATAGGATTTTTTTTCTTTTATAGTTTTGTTTAAACACAAATTTTGCTCTGTAATGTGATTGGAGTATTTCTCCAATCCATTTTCCAAGAAGATGGAAAAAGTACATTTTACTACTACTACTACTACTACTACTATTACTACATGTCAGAAAATACCCTGGTGCAATAGGAATAGTATTGGAATGAGTATTGCAGTTTTATATTTATATATTAATCAGATTTATTGCTTGTCCATATTACCACAGAATAACACTGAGCTATATATAACCTAAAATATCAATTTGAGTGATGGTGGTACATAGTCTACCCTGTAATTATAACCCTATTGCAACACTACATTCCAATGTAGAAGTGTTGTTCTCTGTTAATGGGTTAACTGTGGACTTTTTTTTTTAATCTGGAGATAGTCACATGCAGCATTAAAAAGTTAATACACTCTACTTCTCCCCCAAATTGCCTAAAGAAATGGAGATGAAATTTCCATTTCCATATGGAATTCTAATTCCTTATGTTAAGATGGATGTTATGAAACATAATGGTAAAATAGTGAGCACACTTGTCTAAAACACTACATTTTAAAATTATGTGGTTAGATAAATTAATGTAATTTTCTATTACCTAGACCTCTCTAGACAAATGAAATGTAAAAAAATTGATCTGAAGCCAATTACAGTGATAGTCACAAGCATATTTCAATTACTTGGGGTCTTTTTAATGGAATATGAGCAGCCTGAGAAAGAGAACTCAGAATTAAGATTTGATGGCATTTTTCAAATACTTGATGTCCTGTCATACAGAGGAAGATAAGTTTGTTCTTTGCTCCCTGAGTAGACAAGACCTAGATCTGTAGGGTTTGCAAACAGATAAATTTTGGTTGAATGTTAGGAAAAATTCAATGCCATAAGGTAATAAGCAGCAGAATCAATTAGTTAGATGAATGGGCTGTCTTTTGCTGAAGGTATTCAAATAGCCTTTGAAGATGGACAGTCTTTAGTGTACTTTAGAATTATTTGCGCAGAGGAATATGAACTAGTTATATCTTCAAATATAACACATAAATTTATGTGAGTTCTGTAGAAATATTTCTCTGGCAGAACAGTACATATCTTCCTATATTTTATTAGTTTCTTGAAAAATGTCTTGCTTTTCAGAGATTTATTGTTTCCTAAAGTGGCTCTTATTTTAAACAAAGTTCCTAAAAAACATGGTAAACAAGGAAATAATGAGAAAAATCCTTCAATAGCATGTGTGAATTATTAGTTGTTTATTGATTTATTACATTTATTAATACTTTGTGTACAAATGACTTGGTGACTTAGATTGAATATAGCAAAATGATAATTTAAACAACTTCATAACACCAGTGTAAATGGCAATGTAATAAAAAAGTGAAATAATAAAAAACATTACAATAGCAAGATCATGAATATGTTCTCCAGAATAATTCTGTTGTTAATACCGTAGCCTTCTAAAGGTCCATAGAGAAGAAGGTCAGTTTGATCACTATTGGAAAATTATTCCATGACTGCACTATCTAATCTTGACTCTCCTTACACTCTGGAAGTGTGGAATCATAAGTAGCTGTTAACAGAAAATATGAAAGGTTGGCCTGATGTAATTGGGTAAAGGCAATCCTATAGATATCCATGAAGGCCTTCATAGGTTAATGCAAGAACCTTAAATTATACTCAAACTTATCAGTGACCACTGCAGGCATACCAAATTGGTGTTATATGTTCCCAGCAATATTTTTCAAAGGCTGCCCTATTCAAAGTATATTGCAGTAATCCAATTGGATGGTAATAGGACATGAATCATTGTAGCTAGGTCCGTCTGCATCAGATGCAACTATCCTCACTTAACTGCTTAGTACTATTTGAAGTTACAATTGGGGCTGAAAAAATTATAGCCAGTCCTCATACTTAATGGTTGCATCATCCCTGTAGTCATCTAATTGAGATTTAGGACTTTGCAATTGGCAGGTGTTTATGTCATGTGATCCCCATTTGTGTGTTTCAGTACCAGCTTCTGAGAAGCAGTCAGTAGAGAAGCTGGTCACAAATCACAATCACATGATGTCTTGATTAATGACTGTAGCAGAAGTGAGGTAAGTCTGTCTCAGTCACCTGTTGTCCATTTAGCAATCTTGTTGCTTAGCGACAGTTGCTGGTCCCAATTGTTATGTGAGGACTACCTGTAGGGGAGTAATTGATCACCAGATAAATCTGGGCAAAGTCCCCTAGCCATAGCTTTCATCTGTTTTCTCCAGCTGTTGTTATTTGTCCTGGACAAACCTGCTCTTTCAAAAAACATGCCTGCCCCTTTAGCACTGCAAATGATAGAAAATCCTGGGATATAAATAAATAGTAACCACATCTTATTAGTTTGGTCTGTATCTTCTGTTCAGACACTTATAGATTCCAAATATTAAAACTGGACATTGACAACATTTCGCTTACAGTCTGAACTTTTGTTATGAATATGGATGTTATCAGCATATTGATACCTCAAATTATATTACCTCACCCAAATGAATATGAAATTGAAAGTCCAAACTGAAGAGGAATTGTAGTTTTATGTTCTTTTGGTACATTTACTAGTCTTACTGAGATCCATTGTGATACATTATGTTAGAATAGGCCCTCTGAAGTTTTACTTAGTAGCATTGTCTCTTAATATGTAGTTTTGCTGATATTTTTTTCAACAGTACCTGCTTTTCTTTCCAATAGTTTTCTCCAAGCATTCAGCTCCTCCAAATACTCTTTCTGAGAGCAGTGCTTTTATATACTATAAAATATGTACTAGGACAATGCAAAGACCACTTAGTTAGATGTCCATTCCCCTTCTACATTTTTGTCTTTTAAAACCTTAGAATTTTATATTTTTGACAAGTAAAATGATTGCAATTGCAGTATGTATGCAGTCCCATCCTTGCCATTTTATAAGCCCCTTTAAGACATTTTTATATCAAAATAATTTAAGATGAATTCCATTCATTTTTTTTACTTCTGAAACGTGCCATGTTACTGTGTGAAAGAAAGGGTTAATATTGATTTTAAAAGAGCCTTTAAATGGATTGAATGAGAGAGGGTGTATTATTGTATTGTTTTTTAGGGTAGGTGGGTGTCATCACACTAAAAAGTATGCATATAGCAACCTCAAGGGATGAAGGCATTTGTACTGATGAATATTTTGTAATTGATTGAATTCAGTTTTCAGAAAATAATTTACTGGAACAATAGGGAAAATGCAAAAGGCAGAGTCAAAAGCAAAGATATCTGGCTTTGTTTAATCATCACAAGGAAAAGTAATAAGCATTTTAAATTATAAACTTACTGTCACACAATTAAATGATTTATCAGTCCATTTATTCATTGTGCTTTTTAATGGACTGATCCCAGAGTGCATTAAGACAAACATTTAATTCCCTATTACAGTTTGAGATGGCAACTGAACAGAAGAATTTAAATTATTATACTTTATCAAGGGTATTATTTGGGATATGAAGGAGAGTATCTACATTATCTGTAATCCTTTGAATTCCTATAAAAAGCATGTTTATCAGTTCTAGAACTTTGAGTCGAGAAAAAGTAACCAGCATTACAGCTTCAATGAGTTTCAGTTCTGTCCTCTGTTAATGAAGGACACACTGAACAGTATATTGTAAGGAATTGCTATGTTCCTGGAAAATGGCTATTGTTCGACATTAGAGCAGGGGTGTCAAACTCAAGGCCCTCAGGGTGTTTAGATGTGGCCCACGGGCCCACCTTGAAAACAGCAAAGGACCAGCCGCAGTGCCTCAGTCAGTGAAAATGGAGCTTGGGAGGGCCTTGTGTGGCCTGCCAGGCTCCATTTTCATTGGCAGAGAGTTGCAAGAGGCTGCCATAGCTGAAAATAGAGCCTCGATGAGTGACTGGCCCCCCAAGGTCAAAAACAACTCTGATGTGGCCCTCAAATAGAGTTTGACACCCCTGCATTAGAGGAATGTTAGAAGAATTCATATTAGCCAGAAATGCTAAAATCTTTAAATATATAAATCATTTCATTGTTAAGTATTTATATAAAAAGTTATGACTATGCACAATTGTTGTAGTATTGGTATGTCACACTATAATTTTGAATGGACACATTAATTTGTTAGACCAGCAAGAAGAAAGGAACAAGTTTCTATCAAGGACTACTTTTTTTTTTAGATATTATGCCCCTAAATACTATTTGGTGCAACACCAGTTTCATGCCTTTGCTGTTTCTTAGTAATGGCTAGATAACTAAAATCTTCCCAGATATAAGATGAAAGAGCTCTTCTGGTGACAACATGTAACATGAATACTAGGCTGAGGACTACATTCGTACTTCAGAAGTCCTGATAATGATAAATCTTCAGAGTATGTTCAGGTTTTGACTAGAACTTTGCATTTGCTTGGAACTAAACAGCCTACTGAGAGCGTTCCTTGAGAATTTTTATTTGGTCAATGTTGCAATAGAACAAAATTTCAAATGTCTAAGTATTGTGAGTTCTGATGGAGAAAAGTAAAAAAAATCTGTGTCTGTTCCACTGTAGGAAACAATGGCAATTCAAAACAATTCCCTGATGTACAAAGGAATATAAGGTTATAGCCCGTATTGAATTCTATCTACATAACTGCCTAGACTGGCCCTGCATATTATTTTAAAATATATTTGAGTAGCAAACATTGGAAATGATAATTATGCTTTTTACAGCCTCAACATCCACGAGAAATGAAACTTCCCTGGAGGATATACACTGCCCCCCAAAATAAAAGGAACACAAAAATAAGACATCTTAGATCTGATTGAATGAAATATTCTTATTAAATACTTTGTTCATTACATAGTTGAATGTGCTGACAACAAAATCACACAAAAATTATCAATGGAAATCAAATTTAGCAACCCGTGGAGGTCTGGATTTGGAGTTACACTCAAAATTAAAGTGGAAAAAAACCCTACAGGCTGATCCAACTTTGATGTAATGTCCTTAAAACAAGTCAAAATGAGGCTCAGTAGTGAGTGTGGCCTCCACGTGCCCGTATGACCTCCCTACAATGTCTGGGCATGCTCCTGATGAGGTGGCAGATGGTCACCTGAGGGATCTCCTCCCACACCTGGACTAAAGCATCCCCCAACTCCTGGAAAGTCTGTGGTGCAACGTGGCATTGGTGGATGGAGCGAGACATGATGTCCCAGATGTGCTCAATTGGATTCAGGTCTGGGGAACGGGTGGGCCAGTCCATAGCATCAGTGCCTTCATCTTGCAGGAACTGCTGACACACTCCAGCCACATGAGGTCTAGCATTGTCTTGCAGTAGGAGGAACCCAGGGCCAACCGCACCAGGGGTTTGAGGATCTCATCTCGGTACCTAATAGCAGTCAGGCTACCTCTGGTGAGCACATGGAGGGCTGTGCAGCCCCCTAAAGAAATGCCCCCCCCTACCATTACTGACCCACTGCCAAACCGGTCATGCTGGAGGATGCTGCAGGCAACAGAACGTTCTCCATGGTGTTTCCAGACCCTGTCACATGTGCTCAGTGTGAACCTGCTTTCATATGTGAAGAGCACAGGGTGCCAGTGGTGAATTTGCCAATCTTGGTGTTCTCTGGCAAATGCCAAACATCCTGCACGGTGTTGGGTTGTAAACACAGCCGCCACCTGTGGACGTCGGGCCCTCATACCACCCTCATGGAGTATGTTTCTGACCGTTTGAGCAGCCACATGCACATTTGTGGCCCACTGGAGGTCATTTTGCAGGGCTCTGGCAGTGCTCCTCCTGTCCCTCCTTGCACAAAAGCAGAGGTAGCAGTCCTGATGCTGGGTTGTTGCCCTCCTATGGCTTGCTCCACATCTCCTGGTGTACTGGCCTGTCTCCTGGTAGCGCCTCCATGCTCTGGACACTATGCTGACAGACACAGCAAACCTTCTTGCCACGGCTTGCATTGATGTGCCATCCTGGATGAGCTGCACTACCTGAGCCACTTGTGTGGGTTGTAGACTCCGTCTCATGCTACCACTAGAGTGACAGCACCTCCAGCATTCAAAAGTGACCAAACCATCAGCCAGAAAGCATAGGAACTGAGAAGTGGTCTGTGGTCACCACCTGCAGAACCACTCCTTTATTGGGGATGTCTTGCTAACTGCCTATGCTTTCCACTTGTTGTCTATTCCATTTGCACAACAGCATATGAAATTGATTGTAAATCAGTGTTGCTACCTAAGTGGACAGTTTGATTTCACAGAAGTGTGATTGACTTGCAGTTACATTGTGTTGTTTAAGCGTTCCCTTTATTTTTTTGAGCAGTGTATATGGAATCCTCCTAACAATTTGCTCAGACTGAACAAGCTACTTAGATAAACAGTGAAATGTTTTGAATCAACAAGAAAAGTCTTGTTGCCATGACTGAACTTTCAGACAACTGACCTCCATGTTATGACTGGTTGAAGTAAAAGATATTTTACCAAAGGATAATTAACCTTTTTTTAATTCTAAAGGGTGAAGATGTTAACCGAACATTGGAAGGTGGGAGAAAACCTCTTCACTATGCAGCAGATTGTGGACAGCTTGAGATTCTGGACTTTCTTCTACTAAAGGGAGCTGATATTAACGTATGTTGAATAAAATCAGTCAGTATATTGTATTAAATTTATCTATTAGATTAAGACATACAGCTGTTTTAAATGCATAAAATGGGATGCATATATAGTTGCCCTTGACATAAGTGTTAATTTTGTTGTTGCACTACCGTATAAAAATTTATTTATTGGAGAATATTAAAAGAAAATAGGATAATCAATCTCTCTCTCTCTCTCTCTCTCTCTCTCTCTCTCTCTCTCTCTCTCTCTCTCTCTCTCTTTTTTAGTTGCCAGTTACAAGGAACTAACAGATTAATCTGGATGGTTAAAGCACTTCACTACTTCCAACAGAATATTTGGAGTTGGTTGAGGTTTTCATAACCATCCCAATCTTCTTGTCCTTACCTTGGAATATATCACTTGTGGGATATCTGTATTCTATTTGATTAAAGATTGTCATTTTGCTTGGTTTTTTTCTTTTTTGTATTCCCTCTTCTCATAAAGCTTGAGTTTGAAACAAGAAAAAAAGTTGCCTTTTCATAATGAGGCCTAATGATCTCTTTTAATATGGGAAATGGTACAGGAGAAAAACAGCTGCATTAGGAAAGAGTGTGCTTGTTTTTTTTCCTGTCAATGGATTTTTCACTGCAACTTCCCCTGCCAAATTCAAAATTATTTAAATAATTTTGCCCGAGCCAGTCTTAAATCACATTGAAGACTTTCTACATGGATGGATAATATTTGTAGCAAAAGGAACTCTTGTATGTCAGTCCACTTCTACCAATATCCTGATCCAAATTTTAAGTAAATATTGTAGATAAAGAACTTTTTGTAGAAGATAATTTCTACTTGCTTTCTTTATATCCTCATTGTTGACTTACATTTTAGCAAAATGTAACCTGCCAATAATGTGATACTTACATGTATCAATTTGGGTTGCTTTTTTACAGCTTTATTTTTTTCTTTTTATAGGCTCCAGATAAGCACAGTATCACTCCACTTCTTTCAGCAGTTTATGAAGATCATGTGTCCTGTGTGAAATTACTTCTGTCAAAGGTGAGAATATGTGATAGTATCATTCTGACAATTGTACCAACTTAGTTCATTTCATTTTTCAAGATGTTTTTTTCAGAAGTTTTAAGGATGCCTAATTTGGAGTAGATATCAGAAAGAAATTCAGATGGACCAAAGAAGTAGGGTGAGAAAGGAAAGAAGAAAGCATTTGATGAAGTGCAAAGCTTCTGAAATGTTTGAGAATAGCAAGGTTTGGTCTTTAGAATCCTTTTTTTATTAGGCATTGACTTGAGTATTGTATATATAACAAAGTTTATTCTATTTTATTCTAAAATCATTTGGCTAATTTAGCAGAGCATAAATGGAACTTATGCTGTGAATGGTTATTCATATTGATATTGTCAATTAACTAAAAGCAAATAGGAAAAATCCTATTATATATAAGTGCTATATATTAAATATGTGTTACAAAACTTAGGGTATTTTGAAAAATATTATTTTAAAGATTTTTAGCTCAAATATATTTTTATAGAAAGGCCAATGTAGGTAGTAACTTTACACTGTTTCATTTCAAGCATGAGTGCCATTCGTATAAAGCCACTTTTCAAAGGAAAAAGGGGGCTCCTGAAAACTCTTCATATTACAAGATGGCATGATTTCATTTTCTGTTGTAATAAAAATCTGTCTTGATATAGTTAAATATCTAACTGTACAAATATTGAATTCAGTATACTGGAAAGAAAACATTAGTTTCTTTCAACGTGGTTTCTTTTTCAAGTAGTTTAGAAGCAAGCATTTAAGGCAGATACTGTTTCTCATGCTGTTCTTTTTTGGTTTTATATTATTTCTGTCAGATACATACACAGAGAAAGAGAAGAACAGAATGACAAACTTTCTAAAATAAAATCTCACTTTATCCTATTCTGAATTATGTAACTTATTTCAGACTAACATTTGTTAATACACCAGGTGAGAACTACTGATAGGCATTTGGGCTGTGTTCACATATGCTAAATTATAAACAATATATAACTACAATTTGGATCAAAATTTTAATTGCTAAGTGATGCAGTTACTAAGCAAATCATTGCATGATCTAACCCAATTTCAAAAACATTTTGCCATGATTGTCAAGTGAATCAAATGGTCATTAAATGAATCAGTTGTTAAGCAAAGCAGGCTTCTCCAATTGATTTTACTTGTTGGAAACCAGCTTGGAAAGATTGCAAATTACAATCACATGATTGCAAGATGCTGCAACCATTGTAAATGCAAGCTGGTTGCCTAAGGCCCAAATTGTGATCATGTAGCCTCGAGGTAGTGTGATCATTATAACTTCAAGGATGTTATTTTTTTAAGTTATTTTTTCCGACACCATTGTAATATCAAACCATCATTAAACAGTCATATATTGGTGGTCATTAAACGAATCTGTCTTCCTCCATTGTCATTGCTTGTTGGAAGATGCCTGAGAAAGTTGCAAATAGCTGTAATCATCGTAAATACATGCCAGTGGCCAAGCACTTGAATTCTTACCACAAGACAACAGGGACACCAAAATGGTCATAAGTACAAGGACCAGTTGTAAGTCACTTTTTTCAGTGCCATCAAGTCTCTTTTCCAGTGTCATTCGAACTGTAGGGTTGTGAAGCAGGCTGTAGTGTACCTTCTCAAGTCATCATTGGATTCATTGATTCTTTGTGATGACTTAAGTATCCCTGTGCAGTCTATCCTTTTTAGGCAAGTTGGGTTGAGGCAAGAGAGGATGGTCTGGCCCAGCTCCAGAGCAGGAAATGGATATTTTGGACCCTTTTCACTCAAATTTCAGGTCACAGTTTGGTACAACGACATCATTAGTGATTCTTGCTGATTTCTTGTGGTGGAACCCATGGTGGAGCTGGTGTGTCCATCTTTCACTGGCTTTTAATACTATCGGCACAGTATATATTTAGAACAGCTTAAGAGGTTGGGCATGAGAGGAACCATTTGTGGTAATCTTCCTTCTAACACCAGTTTCAGTTGGTATTGACTAGATGGGAGAGATCATGCCCACAGTCCCTTACTTGTACAGTGACACAGAGTTCAGGATTCTCTTCCCTTCTTCTTAACTTCCATATGGAACCATTGGATGAAGTCATCTCCTGGTTTGAATTCAAATATCATTAATATGATGATACCCAGTTATACATCTGAATCCCAAGTTGAGCAGTGGAGTCAAAATTCTAACAATGCCTGGAAGCTATTCGGGTCTGGATGGTGAGGAACAGACTGAGGTTCAATCCTGATAAAATCCTCCACCCCCAAATTTAAAAACATTGCATTATTTGCAAAATAGTTATACATTCAATAATTGTGCATAATCTATGTGTTCTCAAGCATCCTCACCTTTTTATGGTGCAAGTGCAGCTGCAGCAAAGAGAACCTTTTCACAAGTTCTGCCCTTACTTAGGCTGGGAAGCCTTTGAGACATTCATGTCTTGGTCACCCCACGATTGGGTTACTGTAATGTGCCATTTTTGAGTCCTCAAAGGCCATCAGGAAGCTTCAGCTGGTCCAGCATGGGCAAGTAGGAGGCTTCTGTGTCATTCATTTGACCATGCTACTTCATGAGCTTAGTTTATAGGTACAATGTAAGGTGCTGGTGATTGCTACCTTTAAAGCCTTTAATGATATAAAGCAGAGGTGTCAAACTTGCAGCGTCATGTGACATATCACAACTTTTTCTCCCTTTGCTAAACTGGGCATGGCCAGCATGTGACGCATCTGGCCCGGGGGCTGTGAGTTTGATAGCCCTGATATTTAAAGCCTGGCTATGACTGTGTATCTCCAGTCGTCTCTGCCCTTCAAGTCTAGCAGAATGGGTATACTCTGCTAACATATCAATTAAACAATTTCATCTTGTGGGACCCAGGAAGCATGCCTAATGCTTCTACTGTTGTACCTGCCCTCTGAAACAGTACTTCCCCAAAAAGATTATTATAGGTTCACATCTCTCTATCTCTTCAGAAATGGTTACAAACTTGTTTATTCTCCCAGGGCTTGGGGTCAGGGTGATTGTGGAATCCCCCTCCCCATTTGTTTTTAAATGAATGGCTCATAGCTGGTGTTCTGTTCTTCTCTCTAGAATCATCACATGATCTCAATTTTTTAGACAAATATGCTGTTACATTGTGGAATGACCAAGAGCTGGTACTTATATTAATGAATGATACCATTGTTTTGTTTGGTAATTCATATTGAAAAATATATAGATAGGCACACTATTACAATAAAGACCCTATTGACAGTATGAAGCAAGGACTTTTTTTACCTTTGTTCAGCAGCATTTGAATAAGTTCAAAAAAGCTTGCAGGCTGATTACACAGATGATCATTTGGAGAATCAGGTATATAACAAAGAAGTTTGTTTTTCCTAAAGTGACAATTCTTATCTTTTTACAGGGTGCTGATAAGACTGTGAAAGGGCCAGATGGACTAACTGCCTTTGAAGCCACTGACAATCAGGCAATCAAAGCTCTTCTTCAGTGACGGATGGACTGAGATCTAATGTCTCTCCTGTGGCCTCACACTGCTGCCTGTCTATCACTCTTTGTATCTTCCAGCTTCTTCAGCTAAATATTGGAGAGGGAGGGCAAGAACACAGTAAATCAGTCTAGTTAGGTACCTCTATCAAAAAGAGAACATGTTTGGAGAGTAGAAATACATATAATTGGTATCTCTTTAGGACTTTTTACCCTGAACTATTTTCCCCATTTCTAGCAAAAGTATACTTATGTTGTGGAAGGGAAGAAGAATGTGGTCTGTAATGTAGCTTGTAAATGACTTGCTGAAAGTTTGTAAAATGGAAACTCTGTTCTTTATTTTCTAATATGTAAAAGTAATTAGCAGCCCAGCATGTTGTACCGACACTTAACAAGCAAGGCAGTGGGATAGCTTTTCTGTAGTTCTGTCCCTGTGCCTTAAATAGATTATGTAATGCTGAAGGGTTTTGCTGATAATGTCCCAGTATTTAATAATTTAATGTCATTATTAACAAGGAACAAATAATACAAGCAGGGCAAATCTCCAGCAGAGGTGCTGAAAGAACAATTTAAATCATGGGTTTTCTACCTTCCAAGATGCAAACCAATTACTTCTGGAGTAGAGCTTTTGAAAAACTTCTAATTAGAATGCCCTTCCCTAGAACATCGTAAAGTACACTGGAACAAAATGACTGTTCCAGAACTGTTGGTACTAGAAGATGGTAGCTTTGCCTTCACTGTTTAAATTCAAAATATCCTAATGACTCTATTTAACTTCATTTTAAAGAAGGCAGGAGCTTCTATTCTCTTAGCATCATCCTTGCCACATTAATCTGGTTAAATGCATGTACCTTTAAAAGGGGATTTGATTCACTATTAAGCCATTGCATCAGACAATGATCAAAATTATATACAATTGATAAAATAGTCCTGAACAATGACAGATTGCATCTACTGCCCAGTAACAGATTACGGTTCATACAAGTAATTTCACAAGTCTTCAATGTAGTGCTTTAAAAATATTCACAGGTAAGGATTTGTAGTATGCTAATATCTTGATTGGGATGGTAGGTCAAATAGCATTTAGATATTCTTATTGAAAAAAGTCAATACATTTTGTATCATAATAGTAAAAACTTCCCACTAAGATTTTTATTGGCTTTGAACAAGGTGTGCAGTGCAATGTTGACTGTCATCTAGGAAGTTCTGATGTCTAGCACATTTCATATGATGAATGTAGCTTTTCAGTTTAAAAACATTTAACATTTACTATTGTACCATCCTCTCATCAGAAAAAAAGAAAGTGGGGAAATGGACTTGTTAAGCAATGTTAATATTGCATCTTAAATTGTATGTTATTTGTCCCTTGTCAAAGATATCACCTGTTATACTCAGATCGGTTATCCAGCATCCATGGGGAATAAACTTTATTCTCCAAAGATTGTTTTAAAAGTAGATCTATGTAATATATTTTTGTATTGGTGCAGAAATGTGATATAAAAATAATAAACTTTGCATGCACAGTCTACATAATCACATATTCACTTTCTTGTGCTGTGATAAAATGAAAGATATTAATCCAATAAATTGAATTTCAGATTAATTTTAAAATTAAACATATTTTGTCCTAATTGGCATGGCCTAGTTGACATTTGCCTTCAAGGGATATGAAATATTATTCTATTCTAGTGAAGCATAAATTATGATTATCGTTTGATCAAATGTTTCTTCCATTCTCTCCCCCCTCTCCCTCCCTCCCTCCTTTCACCCTCCCTCATTAGATACGTTGGAGCATTTGTGCCTCTTCCTGCCCCCTTTTTTTCGCACAACTGTTTTTGCTCATGTTTTCCTTGCACATTTACAGGTAGATTCCAGTGAATAGCTCCTAACACCTGCCTTATACTTATTTGTTCAGGGTTATTGAACGTATATTTGCCCTTTCTCTGCTATTCATTTAAGAAATCAGGCTAACTTTAGATTTTTTTTCTTTTATTTTGTACTAAAATGTGGTTTATATCCTAAAATTCAGGATCTGATAATATTAGCTCTTGGTGAACACTCTTGAAGTATCCCATCCCAACCCCGTTTAAGGGAGTCATTGGCACTAGTTAGCAATCTAGAAATCCAGTGCAGTATCAGTCTCCTTCATTTCTGATTTCTGTTTAAGATAATTTGCCATTTTAAAACTTTCTTCTCTTCGTTATAGGCATTGCTTTCATGACTTGGTTTTTCTTCTTCAGTACAGTACTAAGTAGATGAATTGATTAATAGAAGAAGCTGGTAAGAATAGAATGTCCTAGTTGAGCAGTTCCAGTGTTGCATGCAGAATCTTCAACTGAACAGTCTTATATTTTATAAATGGGAAAACAATTATCTTTCTACCCCAGTGATAGGGGGAAATAGTTCTTTGTGCATTTTGATATTTGACTTTTTTCCACAATGTAACCATTTTGTCACAGATTGATTTATCATGGTTCATAGACATCAGGTTGCTAAATGATACAATGTTTGTGTTGCAGGAATGAATGGAATAAACTTGAATTGTGTGTTAGAAAAATCTGAATATTTTTGTTCCCTCTATCTTTTCTACATTCCTTTCTCTCTAGTCTTGCACATGCAACATGTATATGACATTTTACAAAGGAATTTACAAATCTTGTATAGAAGTAAAATTGTTCAACTGTTCTTGAATTGTTAAACTATTTCTAGTTCTCAAGTTTTTGGAAAGTTCATCTTTATTAAGAAACCTGTGGGATGGTGTTAAAAATTGAGACTATTTTAACTTCTGACAATGATAGCTAATTATCCTAAAGAATAGATGAAAGAAGCAAAATATTGGCCGCTTCCATATCACAAATTTCTAAGGTAGCCAGTAATTTCTCCATTAATCTAGCCCAGGGGTCCTCAGACTCTTTAGCTCATCACTTTCACAAAATTTCAAATTGTTCATCAACTCCCAAATATTTAGTACATGAAAATCATTTTAAGTACTTTAATTAATACAAGTAGTTATCAATTTACGACCACTGTTGGGACCAGAATGTCTATTGCTAAGCAAGGTGGTTAAATGGGTTTTGCCCAATTTTATGACTTTTTTGCCATGTCTGTTAAGTGAGTCGACAAAATTGTTGAGTGAATCATGCAGTTGTTAAATGAATCTCCCATTGACTTTCCTTGTTAGAAGCCAGCTGGGAAAGTTACAAATGGTGATCATGTGATCCCAGAACCCCTGCAACCATTGTAAACACATGCTGGTTATTAAGTGTCCAAATTTTGATCACATGACTGAGGATGCTGTTGTGTGAGGAGCAGTTGACTTTTTCAGAGCCATTGTACCTATCAACAACTAAAGAAATCAACAACTACTGGTTGTACCATAAAGAACAACAATAACATCAAAATAGATAATTAAAATTGTGAAAAGTAGAAAATTTAACATACTTTTTTCACTGAAATGGTTGATACTAATTGGAAAGATGCATCTGATGAGGGTCAACAAGGACACTGACATTTGGTTGGAGATTGGGAAAGTGGGAGAGAAGACTCTGAGAAGTAAACAGAAATACTACAATTATGTTTATCCTTCCCTGAAAGGAAGATGAGAAAGGGGAGGGTGAAAGGTCACTTTTACTGGCTGTTGACCACCCAGCCATGGAAGCTGGCGTGGATTCTTCAGAAATTCCAAATGAGATCTCAATTGACCTATCATTTATTAACCCCCTTTTGACCTCTGGCCATTTATTGAACTCTTGGACAGTCCCATCTACCTTGGGGAGGGTGGCAATATTAAGTGCTTTGGGGGACTCTGATCCTGCACAACCTGGTCTCAGCTTCAAACCTACAAGAGAAACTCGAAAAATTAGAATATCATGCAAAAGTTCATTTATTTCAGTAATGCAACTTAAAAGATGAAACTAATATATGAGATAGACTCATTACATGCAAAGCAAGATAGTTCAAGCAGTGATGTGTCATAATTGAGATGATTATGGCTTACAGCTCATGAAAACCCCAAATCCACAATCTCAGAAAATTAGAATATTGTGAAAAGGTTCAATATTCTAAGATCAAAGTGTCCCACTCTAATCAGCTAATTAAGCCATAACACCTGCAAAGGGTTCCTGGGCGTTTAAATGGACCCTCAGTCTGGTTCAGTAGGAAGCACAATCATGGGAAAGACTGCTGACCTGACAGTTGTGCAGAAAACCATCAATGACACCCTCCATAAGGAGGGAAAGCCTCAAAAGATAATTGCAAAAGAAGTTGGATGTTCCCAAAGTGCTGTATCAAATAGAAAGTTACGTGGAAGGGAAAAGTGTGGAAGAAAAAGGTGCACAAGCAGCAGGGATGACCGCAGCCTGGAGAGGATTTTCAGGAAAAGGCCATTCAAAAGTGTTGGGGACTTTCACAGGGAGTGGATTGAGGCTGGAGTCAGTGCATCAAGAGCCACCACACACAGACAGATCCTGGACATGGGCTTCAATTCCTCTTGTCAAGTCGCTCCTGAACAACAAACAATGTCAGAAGCGTCTTACCTGGGCTAAAGAAAAATAGAACTGGTCTGTTGCTCAGTGGTCCAAAGTCCTCTTTTCTGATAAGAGCAACTTTTGCATCTCATTTGGAAACTAAGGAACCAGAGTCTGGAGGAAGAATGGAGAGGCACACACTGCAAGACGCTTGAAGTCCAGTGTGAAGTTTCCACAGTCTGTTGATTTGGGGAGCCATGTCATTGCTGGTGTTGGTCCACTGTGCTTCATTAAGTCCAGGGTCAACACAGCCGTCTTCCAGGAGATTTTGGAGCACTTCATGCTTCCTTCCACATGCTTCCTTTATGGGGATGCTGACTTCATTTTCCAGCAGGACTTGGCACCTGCCCACACTGCCAAAAGCACCAAAACCTGGTTCAATGACCATGGGATTACTGTGCTTGATTGGCCAGCAAACTCTCCTGACCTGAACCCCATAGAGAATCTATGGGGCATTGGCAAGAGAAAGATGAGGGACATGAGACTGAACAATGCAGAAGAGCTGAAGGCCACTATTGAAGCATCCTGGTCTTCCATAAGACCTCAGCAGTGCCACAGGCTGATAGCTTCCATGCCACGCCACATTGAGGCAGTAATTGCTGTAAACGGGGCCCAAACCAAGTACTGAGTACATATGCATGCTTATAATTTTCAGAGGTCCGATATTGTTCTATGTACAATCCTTGTTTTATTGATTGCATGTAATATTCTAATTTTCTGAGATTGTGGATTTGGGGTTTTCATGAGCTGTAAGCCATAATCATCACAATTATGACACATCACAGCTTGAACTATCTTGCTTTGCATGTAATGAGTCTATCTCATATATTAGTTTCACCTTTTAAGTTGCATTACTGAAATAAATGAACTTTTGCACGATATTCTAATTTTTTGAGTTTCACCTGTACTGTATTACAGTTTTGTCATTTTGGCTATTTCTATTATTATTCTGTTTATGAGCAAATATTCAAAGTGAATCTCAAATCTCAACTTGAATCAAACTCTTCAATATTGTACCTACAGGTTTACAAAATACAGTAGTTTGTAAGTGCGTTGGTGAGATCATTTAGGAGATGAGTTAAAAATTGTGTCTGAGTTAATATATTAATGCTGAAATTTAGAGCTAAAAGGGAGTTTTCTAATGCAAATGCAGCTCTGGCTGTGGTTTTTGTTTATTCTAATATAGAGGTTAGATATCTGAGAAAAAGCTCAGATAGCAGATATATAAAAAAAACTCAGATATAAAAACTCAGATATAATAATGTTATAACAACATAGCTCATGAGTTTTATGGTATCTGAGATTTTATGTTTTAATCTGATAATTTGAGTACATAAATATACTGCAATCCCGTGGGATTATTAAAAAGCAGTACTCTGAAAACAGACATAAAAAGTTAGCCAGAAAACTGGGTTTTCCTGAATTTTCAATCAGTTTAGAAACTGAAATGAGGACTTCTGGGTGGAAGAAAATGGCAGATTGATGCATCTCCAAAAAGTGGGAACGGTGTTGAAATGGCATCAAACTCTGCCCAAGGAGAAGCCAAGGAGATTGCCCACATGTGCTCTGGAAGACAACTTGCAAGGAAACCAGGTTGCAGGCACTGTCTACAGCAGTGGGAGCCTACGAAGAAATACCACAACATTTTGCTGAAAATGATTAAAAGTGATTTGGATGATTTTTGCTTTCGTTAATTAAAAAGAGTTGAGTATGGGGAGAGAAGAAATATGTATGAAATTTTAAAGGAATGGGTGAAGAACCAAGTCTTCAAGACCTTCCTAAATACCACCAGGATGGAAGTCATCCAGATCTTAGGGAAAACTCATTCTAGAGTTTAGCCTCTGTGAACGAGAAGATGCACTTCTGGGTTCCCAATAGACAGCAATGTTTAATCAAGGAGCTCAGAGATCATCTCTGCTGGATTGAATTAGCAATTAAATATATTATGGGAGATAGGTGTTCCCTCAAGTAACTAGACCCTGTGCCAGGTAATGACCAGCACCTAGAAGCAACATGACAATAAACGTAGCTCAGAGAAGAGACATTCCTATCACTGCACGTGCCATTGCATTCTGGACCAGTTGAAGCTTCTGGGCGTTGTTCAAGGCAGTCTTATGTAGAATTTGTTGCAATACTCGAGGCACAAGATCACCAGTATGTGACCGACTGAATGGCCTTCAAATACAGAAAAAGGTGCAACTAGTGAACCAGAAGAAGCTATGCAAAGGAGCGGTGATGAGATGGTTGTGATTTCAATAGTGAGAGATATATTGATTGATATCTTGCACAGTGGAATGCACTAAAATAACTAAATCATTAGATTACAATCTTACTTTTCTATTATTTTTCTTGAAGGAGAAAATGGTGTCACTATAATTTACTACATAGATTTTGGGTACTCTAGAGACAAAAACAAAATCTGGGAGGCTACTGGTGAGGGTGATTGCCTATTACTATTCTAAGAGTTTTCAAACATGGTGTATTAAAAATGTTGAGGTTGAAACTGGAGCATGTCCTTTT